TTTTGAAGTCTCTCTTTTATTTAAGAAATATAGAAAATATTTGAAAATATCTTATTTTATTTTCAATAATAATAGATTTTTTTATCCAAGTCAAAAACGGTATTAAAATATTCAAAAATAAAAATTCATGATTATTTTTAATAGATGGGAGAAGTGAAAAATAACAAAGATAAAATATATTTATGTTTGATCAAAATTTAGCTTTATTATATGTATGCACAATACATATTATTTTTGTGTGTTTATAAATGTTAGAATACACGTCTAAATATTAAATTCGATTAAAACATATTTAATTATTTAATCTCACGTTTGGCATGGGTCAAAATCTATTATATTTATAACTAGGAAACTTCTCACCATTCAACTTGAATGTCCATATCATCTTTTAAAAATTTCCACATCATAAAAAAAAAAAAATTGGTGATCAATTAATTATAACACTTTTCTATTTATTGTCTTCTATTCATTACCACAAAACTAAAATTTAAACTTAATAAAAACGAAATGAAAAAAAAAATACAAAACAAGAAAAAAATGAAGATTAGAAGAAAACAGATTTTTTGATTAAAAATCATACATATAGTTCTATAAATTGTTTCAATTTTAATCGAATTTATCAATTAGCAGTTTTGTGAGAATTTTTTTTTTTAAATTGATAAGTTTTGTGAGAATTAAAGCAAACTATAATGTCATGTGAAAGAAAGTAATAGTAAAATAATTTATTTCTTATGCAACTATTATATTTAAAATTGATCATACTAAAATGTTAAAAGGATTTATAAGATTTAAGATGTCAATAGATTTAATTGATATAGTAAATACCAATAAATGAAATGTAGTAAAATGTTAAAGAGAAATTTTAAAAGATAGTTTCTATAAGCAAATATAAGATGACGATAGATTACATCGGTAATGACAAAACGATTATATTATTAACAAGAAAAGTGTATTCCTCTCCTTCTAGAGAATGTCCATATTATTGAAATTATGAGTAATTGGCATATATAACTTAAAAAAAACTATAATTTACAAACTAATCAAAA